TGTCGTGCTCCCCACAGGGAAACAAACAATGGCATAAACATAATTATCCCGGCAAAGCAACCTAACAGCGATGTGTAGGAGCATATCTGGAAGCATTCCCCTTCAGATTCAGATGAGAATCCAGTTGTAGAATTCTGTTGTTCTTGCAGTCGTAGTCGCATTCGCGATGACAGTCGCAGCGGCAACGGCAGTCGCAGTCACAGCCTCAGCCTCAGCCTGCCTCGGCCTCAGCCTGCCTCAGCCTGATAGCAGTCATCTCATCGTCCTCGTCCTCCTGGTCTTGCTCGTCCTCCTCCTCGTCGTGCTCTTGCCCCTGCTGAAAATGTGGCTCAGGAATGGGAGTTCTGGGAAGTCGAAGAGCACGAAGTTGCCTACAGTTGGCTACGGGCATCCAAAATGTGGCCCGGGAATGGAGTTCTGGGAACTCGAAGAGCACGAAGTGGCCTACAGTTGGCTCCGGGCATTCAAAATGTGGCCCGGGAATGGAGTTCTGGGAACTCGAAGAGCACGAAGTGGCCTACAGTTGGCTCCGGGCATTCAAAATGTGGCCCGGGAATGGAGTTCTGGGGACTCGAAGACCACGAAGTGGCCTACAGTTGGCTCCGGGCATTCAAAATGTGGCCCGGGAATGGAGTTCTGGGAAGTCGAAGAGCACGAAGTGGCCTACAGTTGGCTCCGGGCATTCAGAATGTGTCCCGGGAATGGAGTTCTGGGGACGTCGAAGAGCACGAAGTGTGTGACTGTTGGCTTAAAACGACTTCTGCGGCACCCTGTCCGGCACCCGCCCAGAACCCCCTGTGGAGTCATCTGCTGCTCTCTTTTGACACCACTAGAAACCTATCAGAACAAGCTGTTAGGTAAAAACTCGGAGGTCCGCGCGGATTGCTCGGATCGGCGCTGGACACCCCCCTCCCTGGCGCGCAGAGCGCGCCAGGGGCGGCGCCGGATGCGCCTCCAGGAGGCCCCAGCGCCGATCCGAGGAATCCACGCGGACCTCCGAGTTTGTATGTCTGTGTCATCGTTCGTTCCCCCAGTCGTGCTCCCCAGGCCCCAGCGGTGCCGCTCGCCGGCCACCACCCCGGCATAACCACACCCTTGCTGTAGCCGCCGGCTCTGGGCCTCGGGGTGGCCCGCGCCGTGAAAAAAATGAGCAAACCCGGCGTCGGAGGTCTGGGTCCCCCGCCGCGCCCCGGGGCGCACGCAGGGCATCGCGGAGAACGTGGAGAGGGAGGAGGTCGGGGTCCGGCCTCCCGTTGTCCGCGAGGGTGTGCAGGGTGGAATGCCACGCCCACTTGTTGCCTCCCGGCAAGCGCGCGGACGAGAGGTCACAGCGGGGCTGAGAGGACGGAGGCGGACGAGAGGATGGGGTAGAGGGGGGAAGGGAGGGGGGGAGGGGTCCGGGAGAGGGTGCGGCTCGCCACGGCAACGGCCCGAGCTGTCCCGCTCACTTCCGCCCGCCCTCTGCCACGAGGGGCAAGGGTAAGCGGGGATTGGCCCAAGGGGGCAGACATCGAACTGGGATCGGCGATGCATCGCCGATAGATCGGCGACAGACGCCCGATGGCAATACCGAAGGTTCTTGGGCGGGATGGACTGTACGGTCCTTTAGGCGATGAACGGGCGATTGGGGTGTCCCTGATGACATCGCAGCTGGCACCCGAGGCTCAGCACGTCCTTGGTCAGCAGCGAGGGCGGATGAAAACGCGTTCGGAGAAGCGGCGGGCCGCGCCAGAACTAGCGACTAGAGGAAGGAGGCGGAGGAACGTGGGAGGGGCCTCAGGCGTAGAGAATCTTCCCAACGAGGATTGCGCAGGCCTCAGGCGCTGGAGACCGGTGCACCAAAAGGTTACGCGTTAGTCCAAGCTGCCCAAGGGGGGCAGCGCTGGTCCCATCGGACAAGTAAGCCGCCATCCGCTGGGCAGCAAGCGAAATGCCTGTGGTGGGCAATGACCGTCGGCGGACGTCGTTAGGGGGGTCAAGGCTTTGCTAGGGCCTCCTGTGCACTGTTGCAGGAACGGACCCGAGGCTCAGCAGGCAGTGATCCCCATTGGGCGGACGGCCATTCGGAAGCCAGGGCGCCAGAGGCGCGCCATGCGCGCGAGGCGCGTTGCGCGGGCCAGGTGTGCGACACGCACCAGGTGCCTAAGCGCACCACGCGCGACACGCGGGCCAGGTGCTCAACCGCGCCGAGCTCACTGGGCACGCCCAATTCAGCCACGTGCTCCAGGTGCGCCACGTGCTCGACGTGCGCAGAGCGACCCACGCGCGCCAGCGCACGGGACAACACACGTCGGGCGACATGCCGACACCCCAGCGTCCATGCCAGAGGCCTTTGAAAAATGAAGGCATTGTGCAAAGGCCTTTGGCGCGTGCCAACAATCACTGCGCAATGGCGCTTGACAGTGATAGTGGGTCAGCGCACGGCGGATAATACGATCGCACCCGTACCATCACTGTCAACACCAGTGCATCACGATAACGGGATGCCACCTCGACAACATGCGCAAAACATTCAGCCTTGGCCTTAGACGTCTTGGCAGGGTCGTTTGTCTCCTGAGTGTGTTGGCATGCGTCATGGGATTGGTCCCAACGGCTGTGGACTGCTCCAGGGCGGTGGACTTCTGACTCTGCTTGAGCACTGTTGCTGCTCAGCGCAGCCATCCATGCCGGAGCCTCTACGCTGTCGGCGGTGAACTGCCGCCGATGGTGGACGAGCGGGCCTGACCGTTGCGGCCTTTGCCGCTCGTGTGCAATGGAGAAATCGCCGCCGCTCCCGTCCTAGGACATGAACGTGGACAAACTAGCGTACACTGGGTCATGGAGAAGCCCGCACACGGCAACTTGAGTCAAGCCCGAGACGATGACGGCGCTCCGGCACGCCACGCGCTGCCAGGACAGTGTGCTTACCGCCCCGTCGAAACCTTGCCTGGGGCCAAAATAGCTCCAGCCAAATGGCCGCGGATTGAAAGACGAAGATGAGGGCTGGGGAGGCTTTAGACAGATTTGGGAATCTTGAAGGGAGGGGGTGATGACGACGATAATGGTGACGATGCACATAGTGATGATGACGATGGTGACAATGAGGAAGATGATTATGAAAATGATGCCGTCTCGGATGATGATGAATTGTGGTATCACAAGTGTGAACACACATGGTCACCCGATGCCGTCGGCTCTGGCGGGGAACCGCAACCGCGCGTCTCAAACGCAACAGCTGCCCGATGGTCCGACACCATGTTGCGTCTGCACCCCGCCGCGCGGGTGCGACGGCCACCGGTGACTGGAGAGCGACTCCAACCTAGCAGTACGGGCCCGAACGAATCGAAACGAAGCGCACCTAAACGCCCAAAAGGCGGGCCTACAAGACAGCGGTGAGCCGGGGCCCGCTCACAGGTCGAGCACGTGGGACACGTACGAATCTTGTAAACCTTCCCAACGGGGGTCTGCAGCAGCTTCCAGCCAATCCGTGGGCATGTTTGTGCAATGGCCCTGGTACTTTGGGAAGATCACGAGGTCTTCGCTCCATGTCTTCTGTACTCGACCATGGCGTCGGTGCGCTGGTCGATTGTCGTGTCGCTCTGGTATCCAAAAGGCTGCCTTGCGTGACCACCTGTCACGCGGTTGCGCGGTGATCCGTTTTGCCGACTTCCACTCGCGAGCGTGGTATGTTGTAGCCCAATCATCAACTCGGGCGCGGCGAGCATGTCTCTGCTATGTTGGACATTCGTTTGATGAAGTCAACCAACGGATCTGGGTCATCGTCGTCGTCAGAAACTGCGTCCGTAAGTAGGTCGACGTGGGATGGCTGGGAGCTGGTGGTGTCGGAATGCCCGTCGCTGCGACCATGATGGTCGTCTCGCTGTGCATTAATAATGGCGTCTTTCGGTCCGGCGTCGGCGTGGCCAGGGCCGCGTTGTGATCGTCTTCGAGGAGACCCCACTATCCAACGTAACATACGTCGCTGCGTTCGTCCGAGCGGCAAGCATTTCCTTGGTCAGCGCCCACTAAATACAACCATACAGAACGGACAGGGCGACGGACGTATGGAACAGCCGGAGGCGAGCATGCAGCGATAACTGCTTGTTCGTCAAGTCGCGTCGGAGCTGAATGAATCTGCGCCATCCAGACGCGATCCCGCGGTGGAATTCGGCGCCCCGCTGTTTGTGATCAAATAACATGCGCCCCAAGTACGTCAAGCTCGCTCCGTGGTCTAAGATCTGGATGCCATCTCCACCAACCAGGACACGCTTGACCATGCGCCCCGCTCGACGACTGATGTTGGTGAGGATATGTGTCTTCTCTGGGTGTAGTTGGAGCCCCAAGGGCGCTGTCTTCTCTCGCAGGTCTCCGAGTAGACAAATTATTTGCCAGAGGTTGGGCGCGAAGAGCGGAAACGTCGTCGGCATATGTTATGTCAGTCAAGAGCGCGCCTCGGACAAACCCCAACCATAGGCCAAAACGCATGGAAAGCCAAGTGCTCTTCGAAGTACTAAAAAATTGCTCCAACAACGTGCTGAACAAGTACTAAAAAATTGCTCAGCGGGCCCCCCTGTCTGACACGTCTTTCAATATTCAAAGGTCGTTTGTTTTGCCCGTGTTGATGTTAGCCGTCTGTTCCGCATAAAGTTGCCAAAGTGAGTATACATAAGCGGGAGGCACCCATTGTGCTCTCAGCGCTGCCCGTGAGCTCGTTAGCTCGCACGGGACCGAGAAACCATACAGTTGATGACCCTGCATTCGCTATCGCCCCGGAAAGGAGGGACACGCCTATGAGGCACGCCTCCGTGAAGCACGCCTCCACGACGAAGCAGGCCTGCGCGAAACACAATTGCGCTCGAAGCGCGCCTCCATAATTCAGGCCCCCTCGATGACGCACACCTCCGCGTGGAGCACGCTTCGGTCAAGCTCGCCGCCATCACGCACGCTCCTTGAGGCATGCCTCCGTGGAAAACCTTCACGAAACACGCCTCGATTTAGCGCGATTCCCTGAGGAAGTTCGCCTCCATGATGAAGCGCGCACCCACGATGAAGCTCGCCCCCGCAAAAATACGCTCGATGATGACGCACGCCTCCACGAAGCACACCTGGATATTGAAGTAGTTACACCTCCGCGGAGCACGCCTCCGCGAAACACGCTCCGGGACGCCTCCACGATGGAGAAAAACGTCTCCACGGCGCACGCCACCATGAAGCGCGCCTGCAGGATGAAGCGAGCTTCATTACGAAGTGAGCCTCAGTGGAGCACGCCTCCCCGATGTAGCACGCCTTCGTTCCGAGGCACGCATCCCTGAAGTAAGCGACAATGTGGGCCCGCTTCGCCACCGAGAGCGCGGTCGCCGCTGC